CTGATCTTCCATCATTGCGTAATCCAGAGATTCTCATTGGTCAAAAAGATCTTACTGCTTTATCTTATTTAAATGAATCTGAAGGTAAATCAAAAGAAAATTTTTAGACTTTTCTTTTATAAAACAAAAATATATTTTAGTTTTATATAATCTTGAATCTCGTTTTAATAAATCTCAAATTTATACAAAATGTGGAATTGTCTTAGTTACAATAAATCTTTATGAATATTTATCTATCTATGGAAATGATACAATTCAATTGTATCATGATCAAGATATTCAATTATTAGAACCACATATATTTGCAACAGCTGAATTAGCTTATCAATCAATGGTGAATTTTATGAAAAATCAATCAATTATTGTTTCAGGTGAATCAGGAGCAGGAAAAACTGTTAGTGCTAAATATGCAATGAGATATTTTGCAAATGTTGGTGAATTATTAGAAGAAACACAAATTGAAAAAAAGTTTTAGCATCAAATCCAATTATGGAAGTAAGTAGAAGGTTTTGTTTTTAGTAAATAAATACGAAGAAATATGTTTGAAATAAATAAAAGGCAATTGGAAATGCAAAAACAATAAGAAATGATAACTCATCACGATTTGGAAAATATATTGAAATTGGTTTTTTAAAATATCATATTTGTGGTGCATCTATGAGAACTTATCTATTAGAAAAATCAAGGTATTATCAAAATTTATTCATTTCAAAGATAAGTACAAAAAAAAAACGTTTTTTTTATTATAGAGTTGTTTATCAAGCACCGGATGAACGAAATGATCATATATTTTATCAATTATGTACACAATTTAATCAACCCGAAATGAAATCTCTTGCTTTATGTAAGTTTATTCATATTTATTTTCTTTATTAACATTGTCTTACTCATCATCCATATATTCACTGATTATGTTCTAATTATGACTAAAATTTAACAAGAAGAAAAGAACCGAATTCTAGGATTTTATTAGAACTTCGCCAACAGGATATTCATCAATGGTAAAAATTCATTGTACTTTCGACGATTAGCAAAATTTCAGAGGATGTATTGACGAAAACACAATACAGTTTCACCAATTGTCATAAAACAATGTCAATATATAATACATGTCAGTTCAATTAACGAAATTCCAGGGAAGGGTGTGGGTGTGGGTGTGGGTGTGGGTGTGGGTGTGGGTGTGGGTG